AGAAGAGAAGAGAAGAGAAGAGAAGAGAAGAGAAGAGAAGAGAAGAGAAGAGAAGAGAAGAGAAGAGAAGAGAAGAGAAGAGAAGAGAAGAGAACCAGGAGTGTTGGCAGCTGTCTAATGATCTCAAATAACCTCTGAGTTCTCCTAGCTACGCCTGCAACTGCTCTCCCTGAGTGCAAGGGTTCACACATTACCCACAAATGTACACACACACATATATACACACACAGAACAGTCATTTGTTTTCCTTGACAAACAGTCACACAGGAGCCTTTGTCTGTGCCTTCGCAGTTGGTTTTAGACATGCTGTAGTTTAGAAAGACAACACACAAACAACATCACTCACCACTCATGCTACTTCATGAAAAAAAGACAAGACACACTACTTCCTCAATCTCAACAGACGCTAGATGTATAAACGAATACACCTGGACTCATTGCAGAGCAAACGCACTAGGAGATGACTGTACAGCATGTGCAAGCTGTGCAGCTTTTATAGTGAATGCAACCACAGGACCTTACTAACATCTCTGTTTCTGCTATAAATTTTTGTCTATTGTGCTTTAACTTCTTCTTGCTTACTGTTTCCTTTCTTCACACATTTGATTTAGCAACAGTTCACCGCTTTTATACAAGCACACGCACATATTTATATGCTATTTTACATTATGTTCTCTCATTTCCTCCCTCCTTCTTTCTGTCTCTCTCTCTCTCTCTCTCACACACACACACACGCACAACAGTTGTTCCATTTATATACACACCTCCTTTTGAAGACGTTCCTATATTCCCTCACAGTCAGGCCTGATTCCAGACAGTGAGTAAGGAGTGAGGTGGAGCAACACCAGACAAGTCTTACTACCCTGATACAGCTAACTGAAAAAAACCCCCAGAGTCTCAGTGAGTCTGGCTCTCACTTTCCGTCTTAGTCTTTCCTCTCTCTATCTCTCTCTCGCTCTCTCTCTGTCTTTTTCTCCCCTCCCTCCTTTCTATCTCTTGCTTTGTGTAACCATCTGAGCTTAATCTTTTACATACATCCACTTGTTGAAAGACACAAACATTTAACTAATCTGTCAAAATTCATTATTTTTTTAATGGAATGGAAACAGCAATTCATCAGTAGCAATGTTTATAAATCTGTATAATTTATAGAGCATTGCAAGAAAACATACCTTTGCTCTGGGTTGCCTTAACTGAAAAGTGGACACAACCACAAATAAAAGAATCTGGTGGAGCTCCACTGGTTTATTTGCAAAATAAATTAGAGTTCCTGTTGGCAGCAATCTAGGAAAGGACCAGAATTTGAAAGTAGATGCCCCGCCTTCCACAGCTTTTCCTTCTCTCTTCTGAGCCCCATTCCACCCTGCCGGTTTGATATGTATGTGTTGGTATGTATTAAAATAATGCCAATGTTGACTTATGGCTTTACAAAGAAATCAAATCCAGCTTTCCTCTAAGAATGCCCTCTCCTTAGCCCACTGCATAGTGGGGTGCTTTATACCCAAACTTTTTCTTCATACTACGCCACACTATTTGACTGTTCTTTTCCAGAAAAGATCAGATTGGCCAAAGTTTCCCTATCATGGGGCAGAACAGAGCCGAAAGCAGTTGCAGGAGTAAAAACTCCTCTTAGACAACTCGATTTATTATATGCTGAAAGGTTACTTTTGGATTTTTGTCTAGTGGCACCACCTTCCTATTTGTTTCACCTATTTCCTAATATTAAACCATTCTGAGTGCTGGCATAGACTGTGGCATTTGCTATCACTTGCATTATTCAGGGAGAGTTGTTGGTCCAGTGGTTAACATTGTTGCCTCAAAGCAAAAAGCTCCTGGTTTGACACCACTGGTTGACTGGAGGTCTTTCTGTGTGACATTTGCATCGTCTCCCTTTGCTTGCAAGGGTTCTCTCAGAGCACTACGGTTTCCTCCCACCACCCAAACACGTTTGGTTAACTGGTGATTCTAAATTGTCCATTGGTGCGATTGTGAGCTTGAATGGAAATCTGCCTCTCTGTAATAGACTGGTGACCTGTCTGGGTGGACAGCTGGAATAGGCTCCAACTATGACCCTGAATTGTGCAAGTGTAAGAAAATGGATATATAAAATAATTACATTTATTTCTATACTTGCACCAGTCACTCAGTCTTAGTGAAAACAGTTACACTGGGAGATTCTTCAGTGTCCTAATGAATGCCAATTTTTATTGCCCGCAGACTTACTGTATGGGGAATCACTTTGTTTGAGAGGCCAGGGATCACTACACAGACATGTGGTAGAATATCAGTTTACTTCCACCACTAAACCACACGTAAAGCAGCCAAGAATAGAGCTCAGGCTTGAGATTTCTGCTACATAATCTGGTGACTCATTGTACCTCAACAGCTTCTTCAGACCTGTATTGATTTTACAGCCTTCCACATCAACAGCATGCTTCATATTATTGGAAACTCAATGAATTACTTGATACTTATTTGGCCCACAGCCAATGCCATGTTTAGTGACATCAAATCGCAACAGTTTTAGATAAAACCTGAGGGATAATGGAGAACTGACCAATCACTGGGGAGTTTACAATTGATGCACAGCATATACAGACACTTGAAAAAACAACAACATAATAATAAAATAAGCTTATGCAACAGGGCATCCAGCACTTTATATGTGTGCCGAGAGACAATGCCTGCTACAAACTGTTTGCAATACCCTCCTTATGGACAGTGACTCACCAACTCAATCTTTCTCCTCTCCCATTTCCCTTTACTCGTTCTCATCAACCATCCACAAGTCTGCCAAGTGAAGGTGTGACAAAGATGACAAAGGACTCTCCTCAAAATGAGGTGTAGCATCAGGCTGAGAAAAGCACCAGAATTCAATTTCTACCCAAAAACAAACAGTCTCAATCTATAGCTTTTTATTGATTTGATATTTTGTTATTTTACTGATTTGATAGACTCAAGCCATTAAGAGGAAGTCCCTAGAAAATGTAACAAATATGAAATGTGATTAGAGTGAAGACCAGAAGTGAGAGTAACGGTTGGGAACAGGCTGAAGAAGGAATGGGAAGTGGCAGGAATAGTGAGGTTAAGTCACTGCTAATAGGTAAACAAGAAATAGTTGACGAGGCTGAGGAAGGACAGAACAGTGAGCAATGACAGTCACGTCTGGACAACAAGTAAGTGAGAGAAAGCTTGAAAAAGCAGCACATTTAGAGGAAAAGCAAGAGACTGATGGACGGATACTGACGCAGATATACCAGGTCAATAGAGAGCAACTGTGGACCTGAAAAGAAGGTCCCCACAGCCAGAGTAGACAAGTGTAGCATGAGAACACACATGCTAGGGCAAACACAGGCACGAACAGATGCATAAACATAAACACAAACAAATGGCACCAAATAGCACATTATCATTCACACACAGCCACAAGCATAAAACTTATCACGCTCTCAGCTCCCCTCCTAACCCACTTATGTTACCATACAACAACAAATCTGGAGCGCTCATCTCCTCTTACACAGAACATGCCGACTGGATAGTGTGTTCTGGGGTCAGAGAGGGTAAAGAAGGGGGCGGCCTTTAACACATCCAAGTTTTACTTATTTAGACTTGGGTTAATGTTTGCTGAAAGGTAACTATTTTCAGGGCCTACAGCACTTGGCAAAACAGCATTAGTTCTATCTAAATAAAAAATGACTTAGCTTTAGAATCAAACAAGACATTAATAGGAAACATCTTGAAGCACAAAAGAGAGAAACAGAGCGCAAATCACCCTCAAGGACCACATTCTTTCCTGTGACTTCTCTGGTGTGGCAAGGTGACAGCTCAACCACAACACTCTAGGAAAGCACACAAACCCAGGTTTTGTTGTCACATATGAAGGCACATAGTGATTTCAGGAAACCACCAGTACAACAGCCAGACGGGATTTCTCCGCTATTACATCATGCAAAGTTTCCAGCTGGAGATTTATGGGCCAACATGAGAACTGATAACGCAACATAACAGTCCAAACTCTCCATGGACATAAAATGAAAAATGAAGAAGTAACCAGTGGGATGAGGGCAGATAATGAGGTTATCAGAAGAGCACACTGTGTGCAATGAGCATGGACTGAAAAACCTTCATAGGGAGCCTTAGATATTGATGCCTTTGTTTCCCCAAACTGAGGTTCATATCCCCCCTGGGATAGACAGGCCAGTGCCAGGTTCATTATATCACCACTGTAGCATTTCTCCTTATCATAACATCTATAAAATTTCTAAATAATAAGTTAAGGAGACTGAAAATTGTAAAAGATTGCTTGGTGTTTGAAACACAATTTGGCACAGTCAGTCAGTCAATGAATATCTTACTGGTTTATGAATCATATTCCAAACTGGTTACTGTATAAAATTTAACTATATTCCTAAAATGGAAATGTAGAATTTCTTATACATTTCCCGTGTTGTATGTTATGTCTACATTCATCTTCTTATTGGTCAGTACAATCTACATGTGCTCCAGGAGAAGATCTGTCTCTCTCCTTGTGGTTCTTAAAGATAAATCTCAACCAGCTGGCAATGTTACCAGCTAAGCTTCCTTAGACATAGTGGAACATAGATTCTTATCTTTTGTGCCAGAAGCTATTCTTAAAACAGACAATAGCACAGACTTGCAGTATCAAACATGATCTAAATACTACTGGTATCACTTAGAAGCTCAAGATAATTGCAAGTCCGAACAGATCAAGTGTAAAAAGAGAAAATGAAATAGACACACAGAAATAGCAGAATCTTAAGTAACCTGAAAAAGCCCCATAAAAACCAGGACCAATCCATCACCTGTTATAGTATTACTTTAAGACACGCGCACACAGTAAAACGCGCAGTCATCAGAGTTATTCATTAGTGAAGCTAAGCCAAAAGTGTGTATCTAATCTCTTGTCTTTAGCCTCACATCGATCAGAGCAGAGCCCAGCACAAACTTTCTGCTGATTGATTTATAAACTCCTCTTATTTACTGAGTAATAAAGTGTAAAAAAAAATGCCCATAAAACACAAAGCTTTAAGAGGCTGCAGAGAAAACCATTTCATTCAAAAAACAAAAGTACTTCAACAGCAAAAACAGCCAATCAGCTGCCAGACCCTACACAATGAGAAGTTGAGGAGAGTGTTTTATTTCTAACTATGGGAAGATCTGGCAGACAGTCATAAATACATGAAAGATCATACAAGAAAGATTTTAGTAAAGGGATTCCACACTTTTTTTTGTACCATGTGTCGCCGAACTCTCATTTCTTGCAACACAAGCTTTGCATTAAGAACCACAACAAGCAAACATACACAGAAACACATGCATGCACAACGGTATGAAACTCTGGCCTACAGGGCTGAATAATAACATGAAAAGAAAATAAACCGAAGCACCTAGTCTAGTGTTTGTGCTCTGTGTGTCTGGGAATGAGAGGCTATTTTGTAGCAACCAAAACAACTGGGTCATATTAGAACAGCCCCATTTTTCCAAGCCTGCCCAACGCTATTAACAAAGTCATGATGATCTACTGGTTATTGGATTGAAAAATAATTCCCCAGTCTGGCCCTCTCTTTCCAAAATCTTCCATTTCCATCCAGATGGCCTGGGGTTTCACTTGTGTCAGTGCTTGGCAATTCTTGTTTGTTTGCTTTTCTCACTGCAAAGCAGTCTCAGGGAAATTGCTGGAGTTTCCAGGCTCTACTGTGGTGAGAGGGGTAGAATTACACTGAACCTGAAACCATTGATTTCTAATAAAATATAATCCATTCAAAAAAAAAAAAAAAAAAAGCAGCTACAGAGACCCCTGCATGCATGGTATGCTAATCAAATCCTTGAGAAAGCACACTAAAGTGCACTAGCTGGAATTACAAAACTTTAGCCAATGCAAACCTGCTGGATCTAAGAAACAAATATGCAAAAACGAAAAATTCAGCTGTCATATATGTGTTAGTATGTCATGCTGTATGCACCCAGTACCTACTCTTCACACTGTATCGCTTCATGAACTTCATCCTAGAATCAGTCCAGGAGCAAACTTGAGTCATACCAACAAAACCTGAACTCACACACTGTATTCATTCAACAAAATGTAGCGGCTCGTCACTCACTATGTTTGCTGTGGTTTTCAGGGCTTGACATGGTTCTAACTTGCTCCTGGGGATGTCCATGCTTGGGCGTTCGGCCCCTCGACAGCCCTGATGAGGACAGCTTCCCAAGCTTGGGCCCACTTGGGCTCTCCATGCCTGCAATGTACAAACGAGGGGGTACAAACACACAGGAGACATAGCTAAAGGTAATATCGGAAATGCTTCTGCTGCTCATTAATCCGAATCCATTGTTTGTCGAAACATTATTAGCAAAGTCTGCTGCATCAATAGCGTGTGATGATGCTGTCTCCTTGTTCAATAATCCAGCTTCTTTATGTTGGCCATCAGTGCTATTGGCCTGAAGGTTATCTGAGCGCAGGCACACGTGTGATAATGAGGGTGTGACCTTCCATGTTTTCATTTCAAAATCAATACTCTCACTCGCACACTAACTTCATGCTCTGCCCATTAGACAAAAGGTGAGTCAAAGAGATGGTGGGGATACAAAGCTACGCTCCTGAGCAGCTGTGCAAGCTTTCTTTACTATGAAAACCAGCGATCTCTAGTTCAGGTCAAGTGAGATACATTACATCTATCAATCCCGATGCTTATATTGTACATGTCAAGTTCAGACTCTCTGTGCTTAAACATCATTCCCCATCAGGAAGGAACAGCCTTCTGAATAGAGGCTGACAATTGCTAATTATGGTGAGTGGTACTGATTACAATCCAACATGGTTTCTCTTAGCACACATTCATGTCACTCTCCTAATGAATTACAAAGCACACAAAGGGTCACTCAATGGGGGCCACTCGGTGTCCATTTACATGCTGTGCAATTCACTGCGTGAATACCACAGAGATAAAGCGTTCACAGTAGTTGTAAAGTTTTGATGATTTTGACTATAAAATGCACGGTGAACTTGCTGCAGGGTGCAACTTGATGAAATCTTTCACACATTAACACTAGGCATCTTCCTTTTCCGGTATGATGTATCAGAGCATGAAGAGATGGGCTACAGATCAGCTCATAACTACTTAAAATAAACAGAGGTGGTGAGAAAGATATGGCTGATTGATGGTGAGTCTTACTGTGCAACCCTGTAATAATTATGTAGGATAACCCCCTTTTAGATTTGCCACAGTGTTTCAACAGCATCCTCCTAATAAATAAATAAATGAATAAATACATTGCAGCTGGGGTTTTCGTAAACGATTAAATCTACATGTAAACACAAACCTGCTACAGAAACTTTATTACCATATACTTAGCTAGACACAACAAAACCCAGTGACACCCACTCACATCTCCTCTCACAATCTGCTGAGAGACCAACCTAGAAATAAGTATTTTAACACCGCACGTGGCACACGGCCACGCTGTTTGACAACTACAACAAGGTCTGAGTTGCCTATTTATGTGGTTAACTAAAATAGTGCTCTACTTTCTTCCTCCTCCCCGGCCACACCTACCTTAACTGTCGAGCAGTCACCCAGCACCAGAGCCCGGGTGGCCCCGGGTCATCCACGTGAGGTAGGAGGAGGTCAGGGGCAGGAGACAGGCACCAAAGTAGGCGTTTTTTTTCACCAACGTTAAGTTACATGGCAATCACACCTGCTGTGCGTCAAGGAGCGGTCAGGTTGAGCTTGGGGGGCCTGAAAGGAAGCGGACAGTCGTCACCGTCGTCCTGTCCCCCCCAGTCTGCAGACGACGACCAGGTGGACGGTAAAAAAGAGCAGTGCAGGAGATGAGAAATTATAAATTCGTCTGAACATGAAAAGAAATCCAGGATACTTTCACCTTATTTCCAGCTTCCAATTGCCTTGCCCCCCCTCTCGTTCTCCTTTCGTGCATTAATATGTATACCACGAGGCACTTCTCCAACCCTTGTCTTCTCGTTAAACTCTCCAAATTAATAGAAATAGCCAGGAAAGACAGAGCCCTCGACTCCTTGAGAAAAAATATTAGAATACGGGATGGTTTATATAGGCAGTGAAGCAAAATGGCGACTTTATTACGAAGGAGGAGTAAAAAAAAATCCTTGCGCTGGCTGGAGCTAAAGGGAGGCACAAAAATATGTTTAGTGCAGTAATTTCGACGGCTGTGAGTCTGTTGGTTAGAGTAAAAGAAAACGAACGAAAACGAATCAGCAGAAGCGCCAAATCTCGGTCGGGTTTGGTTCACTCCTCGCTCCTTACCTCGGGATTATTCGTTTTTTTATACGGATATTATCTCGGCGGCCGTGTACAGTATTACAGTAATGTGTGTTGGGTCATGCGCGTATCCACTCCACCTTTGACAGTTGCGACTACAGTCTTGAGGCAACTTGCAAACTCTCGCGTTATTATTATCAATTTTCGAGCTGAATAATAGTGGGCTTTCTGGCTAATAAACTCGCTGCAATACCGGCTCGTGCTACTCTTCCGACGTAACGGCGCTCGCTCCTGACGACAAAAAAAGGGTCAGGGCTTAAATTCCGTATACAAACCCTTAGCGAATTATTTTAATCTAGCTGCAGCCAAAATGTTCTTCCCATGTCCTCCCGCGTAGCCGATAACGGCTTCTTGTCCAGTCTGTGGCAGGCTGTTCTAGCTGTCATACCAGGCCGGTGCTGTAGTCACTGCAAGTAGCTCCCTCCAAAAAAAGCCTCTGAAATATCAAGTATGCCTATAATTTAGTAAGGCTATACATAAGAGCAAAAGGCTCCACATAAAAAAGTGAATTATTAATTGGCTCAATATTTTGCATTTAAAGCCAGAGTTTTGTAAAGAGTAAAAAGTCTTTGATGCTGTGTTTTCAATTCAAGGTCAGTATTTAGACATAAGCCATTAGTCCTTTTTGATGTTAATGGCAGTTTAACAGCACACAGGCCTGCAGTCAGTAACACTGCTGGGTCTTTAATTGCTGTATAGCTGCAAGCTGGTTACGGGCTATATGAACAGACTGGCATTTCCCCATTTAACACAGAATAATAAATGCTTCACATATGGTGTGAGCCCACATCTTTTTTTTCTTCTTCTCTCTCTTTCTAAATTAATCATTCACAGCATCACTGCCACGTCACTCACTTCCAGTAAAACAACAGAGGGTCCCTGCTAGTCTTTGATTGGTGCCAGTCATCATGACCCGATATTTCCTATTAGTGGAAATCATCAGGAACCATGATGTAATTTATGTGGGATCGTTATTGCCAGAGGAGGGCGGTAGATCCTCATTTAATAGCAGGTTTGACTAATGTAAAAGTATTACTGGTATTTCAATAATGCCTAATAAATATTTCCGAGAAGGCGCGAGATTAGCGATTAAAAAGGTTTTTCTTGATGAAAAATATCATGACCCCAAGACCTGCATGCACTTGAGCATGAGAAAAAAAACATTAGTGCACAATGGGACACTTTTCAAAACAAAACGAGTGAAAAAGAATTAAGATAAAAAGCAATAATAAATACAAAGTAAAATTAACCTCATCACGGTCTCCAGCATTTTTGCCAACTCCTTTGCTGTGTCTCAGAATGGCCATATATACATCCCTAGAGTCAAGATGGACTCCTGGAGTTAAAACTGAGCATCAGACTAGGGAAGAAATGTGATTTAAGTGACTTTGAATGTGGCATGGTTGCCAGACGGGATTTTATGAGTATTTCAGAAACTCTTACTGGGATTTTCCTACACAACCATCTCTAGGGTTTACAAAGAATTATCTAAAAAAGAGAAAATATCCAGTGAGCAGCAGTCGCCTGTGCAAATATGCTTAGCTGATGCCAGGGGTCAGAGGAGAATGGCTAAAATTATCCAAAGCTTTATATTGTAACACAGAGATCCTGCAATAATAATGAACCTCTGAGAGGAAAAAATAAGAGAGTTCTGAAGGATATGAGGTCCAAGACAGTCCAGCCAGTCCAGTCACCATCAAAGTGTACCTAATAAGGTGATCAGTGAGTGTATATATGTCCCTATCAGCATGTGTCCAGGAAGGGTCCCCAGGCTAGATCTGGAGCATGACACATATGCGAAACGTGACACTTATACCAACTTGGATGTGACCTGGTTTACTAAAGTCCACATCAGATGCTGGGAAACCAAGACAAACTCATGAGAAGTGGGCTAGTGGAACAAGAAATACAACTACTGAAATACCTCAGTGGAGATGGTGGAGTCAAACTCAGTATGTGTGAGGCAACAGTGTTAACCACCACACATCCATCTATCTATCTATCTATCTATCTATCTATCTATCTATCTATCTATCTATCTATCTATCTATCTATCTATCTATCTATCTATCTATCTATCTATCTATGGAGAGAGAGAGAGGGATAGTCACTTTTGTGGTATTTAACATACAAAGTGGTTAGGTTTTTATGTGGCTTCATGTTTTTGCAATAAAAAGATAAACCCATGTGGGGAATAGTCATAGATACTAATTTCACACGATTGGACTATATAACATTAAGTTATTACCACTGAAAAGCTTTCATATGGTTTCATTATTCTTTTCAGTCAAGGTTTATCCGGATTCTTCCACAAGGGAGCAGTGCAGTCCTGTTTTGTGTTAGAAACCGTTCTTGTTGATTACTGGATAGAAATATTTGGGTTCCTGCAGCATTGTTGTCGATATTTAATGTGTGACTTATGGAAGAAATATAGTATCATCAGAGATGATACTATATTTCTTCCATAATATTTGATGGTGAATTTTTTGCAGGTGAATTTTTGCAGGTGAATTTTTTGCAGGTGAATTTTTGCAGGTGAATATTTTTGCAGGTGAATTTTTGCAGGTGAATATTTTTGCAGGTGAATATTTTTGCAGGTGAATATTTTTGCAGGGAAATTTGGAGGATAAAAATTCAGTGTTATAAATTCAATGTCTAAAAATAGTTGAATTCTGATGATATTTATTTCTTCCATAGTGACTGGACTTTATGCAGCGACACGTGTTGGTACAGACACTGTTGGGGTTGATCTCTGATCTGTTAGGCCAGAGGGGACACTCAGCTGACAAACCAAGTCTGCGGGGTGCAATTGGCTTCTGCCATTCTACACCGAATATCCAGCTGATCCTGAAATTTGCTTTCCTTAATGGCTGTTAATGAATAGTTCATACAGAGCCTAGTCTGACCCCTGATTAAGACTTCCAACCATGGCAGTGATTAATGTTCCCACTCCTGCTCTGCTGAGTGAGCAAAAGGCTACTTAATAGTTTATAAAATTGGCCAGGTGGAGTGGTCTGTGCACTTAAAGGCTCTTGAAAAGTTGAACCAGCAGCTAACTGTTATTGACCTTTCCAGTGAAAGTCTGGGGAGCAGGCATGCACTATTTCATACTAATGTGTTTTGTACTAGTTTTCTGTATTAACATCTGAGGGATGCCAGTAAAAATTAAATTCTCTAGCTGTTTAAGTTTATTCCATAGAGGAAATTCACTCAAGCAACCGTTAAAGGGCTTGTCAACAGATATAGCTGATGAGAGGGGACAGAGTGTTTTTCATTCAATTTCAGTGCTGTCATATGACTAAGATCCATCTGATCAAAGTCACTAGCAGATAACGATAAACAATCTGGTAGAAGGGTGTCAGCTTTGGGGTATTTTAGCGAATAATCATAAAAGAGCAGCTTTCTGAAAGGAATTCATTCATCTACAAATGCCACACAGAGAAAGAAAAGACACTTAACAGTAAACAGCATCCAATTAACTGCACCATCCAACCATCTGCGCCAGATTTTTTTTTTTCCCGTCAAGCTTGAGAAAGCTAATGTTCACCGACTCTGTTTATCATACATGTGCCCTGTTATTAACAGGTGAGATGCTTCATGTCTCTCAGTAATTGGATGCCAGTGTGTGTGTGTTTGTGAGTGTGCGTGCATGAATGCACATGCAAGACACAATAATCGTGTGTAGCACTATTTTGCATTCACAGAGTCAGAGTCGTCACAGATGGACCCACAATTCAGGAAGCACGTGCGACTTCTGGAACAAATATTCAGTAACTGTAATTCAAATTGAGTTTATTTTTCTTAAAAAAATTACTTTTGAACATTTTTACGCACTTGAAATTATAAACACACTTCATTTAAGGTAATAACACCAAATTATAATTTCTAGAAGCACTTTTTGATTCTGAGGGGAAGTTTTGTGACCTTTTAAAACCAAGTGTTTGTGTTTGTGACTAATATGAAACCATTATACTTATTACAGAAGAGAGCACTGCGTATTATGCATAATGTTAAATACAGAGAACACACAAATACTTTGTTTATAAAATTGAAATTATTAAAACTAGAAGATATAGTGAAATTACAGACATTATTAATTGTGTTTAGGGCAAAAAATAAAACATTGCCTCTGAAGTTACAAAGATTATTTGTATTGTGTTCAGAAAATGGGGATAGTAGAAGGAAGTTTTATTTTAAGGTTTGCTCGGACCACTCAAAGGCAAATGAGTCCAACTGTTATAGGTATAAGAATGTGGAATTCTCTCCATGATCATCTTAAGGGTTGTACAAATGTTTATCAATTTAAAAGGTACTATAAGAATAAAATGTTAAACCAATATGAAGAAGATTCAAATAACAGGAGTTAATTATAGAAAGAATTATCCTTTTTAATTTGCTATTTAGTGGTATTGCTCATTGCTGATTGCTGTTTTGTTTTGTTTTGTTGTGTGTAGAATAGTGTCAGAGTGTATTTTCGTTGTCAGTGCCTACTTGCATGGTTATAGATAGGCGTTAATAAGAATTTATTCTTCTTCCTGCTTCTTTTCATGCATGGATACAGTGTCATTTTAATTGAAACAAAGGTTTGTGTGTAGGAAATGAATTACTGTTTTACCATGTGTGAAACAAAATAAAAAGAAATGTTTCTATGCATTTTCATCTTTGCTTATGTATAATGAAGGTAGAAACCCACAAGTTGCATTTCTCTCTGTTTAGCAAGAAAATAAAAATGTTATTTCACAGTTTGAGCTACATATTCATTTTTTTAGAAGTCTTAAACATTATTTGACCATCAAAACAACCTTTTTAACAGCTTCAAAACCAAAAATGGAACTGCGTTGCATTTATTTTTGGATGTGTCTGGTGTATTTATTTCAAAATATCCAAACCAATTTCCTTTCCAAGAGAGACTCGGGTTGATTTGTCGAAACAGAGAGGACAATCTATCGTTTGGCTCTGTAGCCATTTTGATAATGGGAGCACTGCTTGCCAAAAATCTGTTTCCAATCAGACGCTGTGTTTCAAGAAGGGTAGAGGAACCAATTGTAGTTTTGAAAATTATTTTAACTTAAATAACTTAAAATATCTCTCTATCTTGGAAAAATATTGGATGTTATATTGTAAGACTGACTAAATAAAGGGCTGATTCATAGGTTTTGGCGGTGTATATCAGGCTGAAGTGTGATTATGTTCTGGGGCTTGTTTTTTTTGTTTCTTTTCCATTCTTTCTTTTATGCCTTCCTTTGTCTCGTCTCCTCTTTTTAGCGTCATTTGTTGTGCCCCCCCCCATTGTTATTTTACTGTCAAATACATGCATTTCAAAGGCTGCCGATTAAAAACTCAACTAACAATTCATCTCAGTTAGTTTATTCAAAAAACATGATGACAGCTTTCATCATTTTCCATTCCGTCCACTGTTGAATCTGTAAAACAGAGAAACATTTTCTCCTTTTGCAGGTCATAAATCATCAGTCAATGTAAACCAGTATTTACAGTACATTTTTTCATCTAAAAATAAAAGTGTGTTTTCTTCCCATTTAACAGTCGATATCTCACATTACTCAAAGCGTCCTTGTAAAAGGACAGTTGGAAGATGGTTGGTGCAGATGTTTTGGAAGTTGTGTGTTTTTTTTTTAACGTTTCATTTCACTGATTTAGTCATCTGTCTTGAGCATCATTGTCATCGTCGCTGTCTGCTGTTGCCTAGAAGGACATCAAAGGTGCTGGTTTCGTTCACAGTGGGAATCTCAACCGTATCTTGTTTTCTGACCATTTGACAGTACAGCGTCACATCAGGGAGAGAAACAAGATGGAACACAAACGGAGACCCATCCTTCTTGTTGTATCTGTGTGTAAGAGGTGACATACAGTATACATGATCACAGACAAAGGACTGAAACTACAAGGCTTGCAAGTACTGCCACTGTAGAGGGCAAGGTGTTTATTTCCGTCAGCAGACACTCACACGGTGCATCCCATCTCTACAGATGTGCATCTTCTTCACCTTTTAGCACTAGCATTATTGCTTTATCAAGCAATTATAATCTCATTAACTCTGTGAGCCCCTTGGATCCATTTCATTAATAAAAGACCAAAGAACTGTTACAGTATACACACATTAAAGTGTATGTTACTCTACAATGCTCACACCCTATAATATATATTTCTAAATTCTCACTGAAATACTGCAGATTAGTCACAATACAAAAATTTTATTGTGGGAATGACATTCAGCCTGAAGTGTTAATGTTCATCTTCCAAGCCTGCAAATTCTGAAACCGATGTCCTGAGAGGAAAATGCAGTGTGACACGTGGGTGAGGGGTTGATTAAACTGGCATTAGTCAAATGCTTTTAACAAAAGCTCTAATTACCTTTGAATACGCTCATGGTTGTTACTTTACAGGGAGATAAAGATTAAATGTAAGGTTCCATTGTCTAAATTGTAGCTCTGCCTATAAATCTATGGCTACATCCACATTTCCTTTGCCACTGAGCCAAATGCTTATTACAAACTAAGTGAAACCATGTCAAAAAATAATTCATTCAATAACCGCTACTTATGTCAAATACATATAATTTCAACAGCTACTGCTGAAATGACTCAATCAGTGCATTCCAGCTGAGAAAGGAAACCAAAAGGAGATTCTCTATGACCGAAGATATACCCGCGCCAGGCAAACATCATCACAAAGATTGTTAATCTTTCATCTTTTCATCTTATCATCTTATCGTATGTTACAGGGGGTAACCCTGCCTAGAGCGGGGTTTTTGTCTCTGTCTCAGTGTCTGTAAACCCGATTGGCCGTGTTGAATGAGAATCCTCCAGACTGGTTGGCATGTAGTCTATAGGCTCGTCCTCTCCCCTTTCACTCGTTGATTCTCCGCTCACATATTTGAAGACAGCAGCTCTTCCATGGCTCCTAGAGACGTATTGTGACAAGGGATGAGGGAAAGGGCCACTAAATGGATCCAGGGATGAGCTAAGAGAAATTTCCAAAGGAGGCTGCAGAGAGGGGAGAGAAGAGAGGGGAATACATAAATAGGATTCACATGCAAAAGAGGTTGAAAGTGCAGCACTAGTTTGTTCTTACATCATACTCCTTTGTGACCTCAGTAAATAGTTAATAGTTAATACACATTTCTCTCTTGGTATGCTTGTTCTGTATGCACTCAGTGCAAGTCTGTGCTGTCCTGAGAGCACAGATGTATCTAAGAGTCTCTCTAATATCCAAGCATTTGTCTCAGTAAGGATGCCTTATTGTCAGCAACCTTTCATTGTGAACTGCACAATGTATAGAGATACAGCATGCTCTAAACTTGACTAATACCTCTTTGGGAATCACCATGTTGGTGTAAAACTACTATTTCATGGCTATCAAACTGTGTTGTTGTTTGCATTTTTCATAGGTTCAACTAAAGAAGTGGGGGAAAAGACAACCACCGAACAACAGAATAAAATAAAATTCATGCTTGTTATTCCGAGTATAATATACAACCACATTTACACTACTGTGAAACTTTTGTGATTAATCTCTGTTGATGTAATACGCTGTACTCAGTCACAGAGCAACAGTCTCCAAAACAAACAGTAATTTGGACAAGCACTGGCAGACTGACTAAGAAGTAGAATAATGGTACTAAGTAGTGAAAAAGACAATAAAATGGAGATGAATAAATTATTAATAATTGGAGGTAGAAAAGGCTACAAAGCTTTACAAAAAAGGGATTTAATTAGCAAACCTTTTTTTTTCTCTAATTATCTATTCTTGGGTCTTTTCAAACAACAGATTCAACCAGGTGGTTTCCCTGACAACTAGCCAGTTTGTTGCATCCTAAAATGACACCAGTGTCAGCAGAACGGCAGACTTTTCTTTCCCAGACTGTTGGCATTTCAGCTTCAAGCCCTCCTCTTCTGATTGCCAAGGAAGAGACAATACCTGTCTGCACATTTGCAGCCAACACAGACAGATGTAACGTAGAACGGTAGTAAACCTCGACCAGGAAACAACAGAGGGACAGAATGGAAAAGCAGACAGGACAGAGAGGCGCTGATATGACTTGAGGCTTGCACAGACAAACAGAAAACAGTTTCTGTGATAGAAATTCTTTTAAATGAGCTCCCTATGGAGTCGTCAGAGCCTAGATGAAGCAGAGGAGGGGAGGTGGGTGGGAAGACCGGGGGGGGGGGTGAAACGCAACTGAGCAAAATTTGTTCTGAGGAGAAATGACATGTTCCTCCTTCTTCTCTGTCTGTCACGCTCAGAGTTTCATTCATATTCTAATTCAGCTGGCGGGCACCATAGGGAGCTCCGAGTAAAGCTGTGCAAGGATGGGCAACACACAGAATCGATTCAGAGCAAAAAGGTTACCAAGGCAGTCTCGTAAGGCAGCCAAAGTGCTATTGACAGGGTTTCTTTTTGCATTTGGGGGTGGGTGGTGTCAGGTGTTTTGTAGAGGTTAATTGCAACTTCATCAGTTTTAGATAATTACTGGAAAGAGTCTAAAATATGGCAGATGGCTGCATACAAATGCACAGAATGACTGATGAAAAATTGATATGTTG